CTAAACCCTAAACCCTCAATGCCGTTCAGATGCACACCCCGCTCCTGCAAATCGGAATCGGCCTTACCATTTAGTTAGTGGGCTTAAGGTTTAGGGTTTAGGGGTTTAGGGGGTTGCGGGTTTAGGGGGTTTAGGGTTTAGTGGGTTCATGGTACTGTAAAAAGTTCGGAAAACTTGTAAAGTAGAGTGCTCCTGCCAGAGGAAGAGAACACAATAATGATACCAAGTAGTCATCTTGTTATCATTAGTACTATCATTCTCATGAGTTTAGGGTTTAGGGCTCTATCCTCGGTATTAGTTGTAGTGGTCATTGGCATAGTTATCGCGTCTACTTTAATCCGGGGAGGAACCAGCAGGGAATCACCATATGAAATCCCAGCTCTCAGCCTTCTGACGAACAGGGTTTACGATTTGGGTTTTAGGGTTTAGGATTTAGGATTTAGGGTTTAATGTTTAGGGTTTAGGATTTGGGGTTTAGGATTCAGGATTCAGGATTTAGGGTTTAGGGTTTAGGGTTTAGTGTGTAGGGTGGGGGACAGATACCTAGACAAGCCAATTCAACCATTTATCGGGTAGATTTAAGGACCTACAAGGTAAAGGAACAGAACATGGAAACTACCATTTAGTGTCTACTTAGAGTAAGCAATGTAAGCATTAAAAACGGCTGTGTACCCAGTATTTTGGATCTTTACCTTTTGAGGGTCTAGATTACTCCGTAACCCTAAACCCTATACTGTAGAGGTTATTAAGAGGGATAAGGCTATGCGGCCGAATCTGTTCATACGCTCATCAATCCACAAGTACAAGAGAGGAATCAGATGTTTAGGGTTTAGGCTTTCAGGTTTAGGGGGGTTTGGGGTTTAGGGTTTATATAAGCTATAGTCTAAACTCCGAGTATGCCCTTAAATAACCCCGAAAATACTCCCTTGCCTACATAATCCCCTACATTACCCCCTTTCAGCAGTTTAGAGTATAGCTCATACACAGATATACAGGGCTGGGTTGAGGGTATAGGGCGTATAGATAGAAACTGAACCCCGCACTTTCAAGATTCAGTGCGCCGTCCTGCGCGCGGTTGGCTTGACTACGGTTGAAACCATAGGCCTTCAGTATGGGCCCTTAACCCTTCGATCCCTAAGCCTATATAGCTACTATATGGTAGTTTCCCAAAAGTAGGGTACCCCAATATAGAACCCAATATACTATAGTCCTTATTGTAGGGACCCCCCAAAGGGTACCCCTAATTTAGGGAAACCCCCATATATAGGATATATGAAGGTTCCCAGAATATTCCTGAAGGGCCCGAAGGGCCCATATTAGTGGGCCCCAATCGCCTTAAGCCCTAAACCTTGGGCCCTCAAGACTAGACCCAAAAGCGCAGTGGGTAAGCAGACAAGAAATTCGGAAAGAAGCTCAGACTCTGATCGCCCCAACTACTATGGAGCCCCGTAAAGCCGAGCATCCCTAAATTGATAAGTCGTCATCTATCTAGATAGGGTTTTAGTGTTGGGTTTGAGGGTTTAGCATTTTAGGTTTTAGGTTGTTAGGGTTTCTTTCAGAGGGCTGGGGGTTTGCACTAACACGATTGTTCTACTGGGCTGCTGTTAAGGAACTTAAGTTAAGTTACCAGAATGTAGCTATACATTTAATATTAGGGTTTCCTTAGCATAATAACATACTCTAAGGCCCTTAAGCAAATCCCATCTTTCCAGCGCTATATGCTCTTTGCTCCTTAGGGCCCTCAGAACAGGCCTGTATTACAGTTCAGTGGAATAAATTTCCCAATTTTGTACGAGTCCAAGTACAGAATGTGATGGCTTCAGGTAGCAGATACCATAGTCTCATGGTCTTTGGTACCTGGAGCCATCATATGTACGTCCCTTCCTCACAACCAAGCCTACAAATTTCCCGAAGTTTGCTGAATGCCCCTGGAGGTTGAAGAGAAGGAGGAGGACTCAATTCCTCGGAGGGTTCAGGTTTTGGGGTGTCTTCCTTTTTGGGGTTTACGGTTTGGGGACGAATAAGAACCATAACCCCTATATAACCCCTATAGTCCCTGCAGTTTCCATTTTTTCCATTATTCCCTATATGACCCCTATATACCCCCATAGTATCTCCCCATTACACTTTGGCTTTCAGTGTGAGGGGGTGTGTTCCTCAGACTCTCGGATCCATGTTGCGGGTCCCTGTAGAAAGGGTGGTGTTTTTAGACTGTAAAAGGTGGATTTTCCTTCTGATGTGACAGTGAAGTGTAGGCTTAGGGAGGACAGATTTGTCCTGCCTGCACCCTACGAAACCCACATTTTCCGGTCTAGGTCCTCTTATGTCTTGTGGTTATATACTGTCATACCGGACAATCACAGTTTACGGCTGGTTCGAGATGTGGGATAGCAAATTG